CTCTGTATCTATGAAGCGCCTTGAGGCGACATTTGTTGTGATTTGGCGCTATATAAATAAAATTGAATTGAATTGAATTGAACATTAGGAAAGTGGATGGATAAAAAAATGAAACCCAAATACGATGATAAAGGCAGACAGGATTACCTGGTTACTGGATGCTATATTTAGAAGTGGTTTACAACAAATGTCTCTTTAAGAAGAGGGAAACTTTGTGTTTAAGTCAAGTGTTTCCTGACATATGCACACACCTGACCTCCTCCAGGTGTGGCTTTGAGGCTCACTAAAAGTGAGCCTGACTTTGACCTTAGCATCATAATCAGAGCGCGATGTCATTACTATTGAGAGACCTAAACAAAGGACCACAGCGAGCTGCTAGCTCTTCCCAGTGTTCACTTATGAGGTTGACAAAAGAGATAAAAACCCTCTGGGCCAAAAGGACTGCAGTGGGATGTTTTAGGGGTTACCCACAGCTGGAAACATGGTCAGTTTAAAAAGGATGAAAGCGTCACATTATTATATCTTTCTCAGTGACTAAAACAGGACTTTTATTTGTGTTAGGTAATCACAATGTCAAGCTTATTATGTAAGTTGTGGGTGGGACACACAAATGCACATGTGCTGTGGACCCAACACAGGAGAGCAGCTCAGTGTTTAACACACGTGTGTTAGGACGATCATTTTCCTTTGTGCTGTCACTGAGTCCCGGACCATTTTCCTTAAATATTGTCACAAGTTTTCACCTTTCAAATCCAAGCAGACACATCAACCTGATCCTAGGTAGAAATGAAATGCACACACCTGTGTGTGATTCCCCGTGACAGCCTGCTTTAGCTAACCACACCTTCTAAAAACTGTTGAATATTATGACTAATAAGTCCTCAGATGATTGGAATGATGGTGTCTGCCCAACAATGCGTCAGGCTCACTCGCCGGGCCGGGTGTGTTATTACAGCACAGTCGAGACGAGGGAGCTTAAATCAGCAGAATACCAAAGTAGATGAATGAATGTGTTTTTATCTGTAGTCATGCTTCAGTTGAGGAAGGGCTTAAGTATCAAGACTGTCTCGTGTGGTGGAAGAAGGCTTGGCACAGCAGCAATATGATGTAACAAACATCCAGTCAACATGTGAATGTGGAATATCTGAATATCTCAATACTTTATTTTATTCAGCTAGATGAATGTATACATAGTATACAATACAACAGTTAAAACAATATTATATGTGCATGAATAATAAAAATAACATTACCACCTTTTAGATGGTGTAACTGGTCCCTCTAAGGACAGAGTCGATCAATGCAAACTTCCAAGAAACCCAACGTTTGATCATCATGCATGAGTTTATGATTCAAAGTAGAGCGCAGTACAACAGCTGGACCCTCGGCCTCAGCAATCAGAGGTGGCGACTCGACACGACTTCAGACGAATCTTATACTTTAAATATTTAATTTAAAGACAAAACAGCCAGTTTTGGAAGAAAGACGTGAACAGTCTTTGATGTGAGTCAGTTTAGGTTATTATTTTCCTCCTTATCTGATTGGACAGACCTGTGAGACCAACGTAATAAAATGAACATTTCCATGTTGTCATTGTCTCGGGTTGGGGTTTGGGTTGGAGCTGGGGTCACTACTAATCACCAATCAGACTCCAGAGGGTTAACGTCTTAGCATCTACGTATTTGATTGGGATTTTCACACATTCAACATGCAGACGTTTCAATTTGTAATAGAAGAAAAATGCATGTAAGGGTTTAATGTGAAGGGGAAACTATAGTTCTGTAACACCGTAAATGGTTTGCTAGTGGTCTGGTGAATATTGCGAGGATAACCAGCACGTCGTGGATCTACTCTCTGTTCAACAACACATATTAAAGCTACAGCAGGGAGGAAAAACAACAGGAGCTGCTTGATGATTCGTTTGTTTCCATGAGCTTCATCAGGAAAACACATTTTTCTTTTTGTAAACCACAAAGAATAAAATTGAACACTGGAGGAAACCGTCCAAAATGTTGTGTTATACATGTAGGCAGATATAATAGATGAGCAAAAAACAACAACAAAAAGCAGACAAAGATAACCGTAAATAGAAAATGCAGTTTCAATAATGACTTGATTTATTACAAAAGCTACCTGGCCTTTTGTGAAAAGCCTAAATATTGGTTGGGCCACACTTGGCAGCAAAAACTGGAATCAAGTGTTTGCACAAACTAACAAAGAGTGTTTGACGTTGTTGTGGAGGAGTTTTGGCCCACTCATCAGTTCTTTGTTTTCATTCAGCTACACTGGAGAATCTACATCCTGTTTAAGGTCATGACGCAGCATCTCAGCTGATTCAGGTCCAGACTCTGACGTCCTGCGTTTCAGGTCATTTTGGGTCAAGTGGACTTTGAGGGACCATCTGACAGCCGGACATTCACCTTCAGGATTTCAGCAGATTTCCATCAGTGTTGGCAAAGCAGCCCAGACACATCCCAACACCAAGACTTTTCCTTTTCTCAAAGGCTGTTAGTTTGACACCAAACACTGAGACTTTTGTCTCATCAGTCCACACAAGTCTCGGGATCATCGAGATGTTTCTGGACAATGTGAGACCATCCCATCTGTTCTTTTTGCTCTGCAGTGCTTTTCTCCTTTGGCCTCTTTCATATGCTCGGATCATGAGCTAACTGAGGCCTGCAGGTCGTTAATGTTGTTCTGACTCACTGACACACTCTTAAGTGTGGTGAACTGGCCACTGCTGGGAAGGTTGATCACTGGTCCAGGTTTTCTCCCATCATGGATAATGGCTCACACTGTGGTTCTCTTTTACCAACCTGACACTTTGTGGTTAATCAGAGTGATTTCTCACACAAGTTTGGATAACGTTTTTCTTAATGAGTGAAACTGTCAATTAAAAACTGCAGTTTGTATCTACTGAGGTTACCTTTGACTATTTCTGCTGCTGGCATTTTATGTTCTTTAAGTAAATTCTCTGGTTGGGAGTCTTATTTATATTTTATCTATATAAATTTATTACAAATATTATTATTGACTTGTTTTTGCGTGCAGTTTTAGTGCTTCGTTGTCCTGCCATCGTCTCTGAGCTTACTCATTCTGTGTCAGGAGTCGAGGATGTGGATTGTCAGTAGAAATATATCTATCCTGCTAGATTTTCATCCCAGGAATTTTCCCAGGGCACTAAAGACAAATGCATCATGTCCACAGATGAATGTGCAGCATGGCCCATCTGTCAGTGTCTGCAGGCACAGCGAACTAAACTGGACACCATGTCGAAAGATGCTTGTGTTATATTCCACATTCTTGGCTCCATGTTGTTAAGCAGTTGCACAAGTGTTTTGTTTTTCATACACAAAGTGCTTTCAGGAGATTCTCACAGTGCATTCAGGGCTTATTTTGACTTGGAGGGATTTCTGCTGCTTTTACCACTTAACCTTTCTGTTGAGTTCAGATTCACGAATCCTCGAAGGGCAACTGGAAGCAGCAGCTTGATGGTTCTTCCCACAAAGTCACTGAAGCATTTTTTAGGCTCCAGTTTACTTAAATTACATCGCTCTCATAACTGGTTTAGACGTAGTGATAACATAGCACGACAGTTGTGATTTCTTTTTACAATAACGGATTAATTTCTATCTTTAGAAGCTTTACTGAGGAAGGAAGCAAACTACAAACGTCTATTGTTTGGTCTGTAAAATGCAGGCAAACATAAGGCAGTGGTTTCACGTCACTAGTTTTGTCTGGTAAACCAGTCAAAATGATAAATTCACTTAGAAAATGAAGTAGATTATTGTACATTTAAAGGTGATTGTTTCTTTTGTGGTTTGTGCTTTATGGAGTGTCTGGTCCTAAACCATGTAACTGCAGGGATGCAGCCACAAAGTGACGGGATAATCTGCAGAAAATGGTCTGATTCAAACACAGGCACATTTTGATATGGGTTGTCTGCTTAACCACGTGAGCTATAGCCTGTTAATTAGGTGTACATTTAGTGCATGCTAATACTGACTAATTGGGAGGACACGAGTGCATTTACAGAAAAGTCAACGTTGGCCGACCATCACCTTCTGAAGTCAGAATGTGTTCAATCTTAACAAAATAAGGAAACCTGTAAAATAATCGTTTTAATCTTTGATTTGAAGGTTTTACTGAATGTGTCTACATACTGTGTCCCAGTACTGCAAATCTAGAAGAAGCCGTGTAACCATGTATAAGAACATATATGTACTTTAAAAGATACACAAAGTTACCTGGAGGTCCAGGTATTTAGTCCTAGTTTGTATACTCATGCAGGGGTTACCTAAAGGAACACAAAGGGGATTTGACTCTATTTCTGAGGGTGAGTGGGGTGAACATCAGTTCATGAATTTATCAATCCACCATTTCAAGTTTTTACCTGATCTAAAGCCTCCTGGAGGTCAGGGTTTGTCAGTAACAAGCCAGCTTCAGGCTGAGGACAGATATGAAGATCACTGTGAGCAGCTCCTGCAGAGAGCTGTGCTTCACTGCGCTAAGGCTTTGACCAGCTTACAGGTCTTTGGCAACATAGAAGAAGCAGCTGAACATGTGTTGTTGCTCTAAGCACAAAAGACACACACATTAGAAACAGCATCATACTGACCGACTACATTCACTGTATAGAATATAATTTCAGCTCTAAACTTACGAATACTTTGGTCATTAATTCAGGAATTCTTTGATTTTTAGCTAACCTCTCATCATCCACCAGGTCACCTGTGAGCCATCCAGAGTAAACGCAAAATTTCCCTCTGTGACAGGGTCGTACACAGAGACAGACAAACACACGGTTGATTTAGAATCGCCAGTTAACCTGTGTGTCCACCGCACAGACACGGGAAACACACCCAAAATCCACACAGACCAGACTGGATTTGAACCAATCAGGATCCACCACACCACCACGATGTCACCCTTACATTTTCTGAGTTTCTGTGCTATTTAAACCAAAACCCGTCGCTAACCCTAAAGAGTCACTAATGACCTGGATCTGTTTTTGGAGACATATAAAGCTGAGTTGTGTTTCATTTGTCCAGATCAGACAACAGCCCATCGCACAAACCAGTAACTAAAAGAAAACGAACATGTAGAAACTGCATGGAGGCCTTAAATGTGACGTATACAGTACCATGTTTCACATTTTCATCAGTCCAGTACACAGGCATCATCACAGCACAGCAATGGTTTTGAGATCGAATCTTACAAACTTTAATTTCCTTGCTTTGATCTCACCCTGTGTAGGTATACCAAGAAGTTAGTGATCGCTGTCTTTACGAGTCTTTTGAACGTTTCCGACAGCGATTAAAAGTCTTTATGTGCAGAAACTTTCAGTAACGGTCTTTCCACGTCTGGATAAAGCTGTGAGGATGCAGCAGCTCTAAGTCTTAGAAGGTCTGTTGTATATGCAGGCATCACGTCATCGGTCCTGGAAGAGGTAGACAAACCACGAGTCAAACCTCCCACTGCAGGTTTGACAGTTTGGGAGGGGGCGGTCTCCTTCCTTCCTCTTAGGGAATAAATGTCTGTCCTGACCCTCTCTGGTGTAGCCCCTTCAGTCTCAGTAACAGTCACCTGACACAGCAAATGAGTCATCATCATGCTGATTAGGGCTAAAGGTTCACTTGACTGCCAAAGGTAACCCCCCAGGCTGCTCAGCTCTAGCATTGCTTCAGAGTGCACAGGTCCAGCTCCTGAGGCTTCCTTTTCCCAGAGCAGTGCTCTCTGGGCAGATTCAGGCCGTTCTCGGTAATGCAGCGCACCAGCCGCCTTTTAAAGCCCCGCCCACATGACTTGGAGCAGTGAGACCAAGTCCCAACATCCCACATGGGACACGGATCCCCGCATGCTCTTACCGACACGGGCCGGTCAGCACCATCACAGTCCACAGCCGGACGTCCATCCACACTCTGGCACTGTACCAGCCTCTTCTGCAGACCACTCCCACACGTCACTGTGCACGAATCCCATCCACCTGTCACCCAGTGACTCACGGGTCTCTTCCCCATCACCTGCTTCTTAGACTCAATTTTGTTGTTATCAGCCAAGACGCTGTTCTGTGATTTATGACTTTTTCCTTCTTTCCACAGAGTCTTCTCCTCCTTGCTCTCCTTAGCGATGTAGAAGGAGTAGCGTACTCTGGGAGGAGTCATCTTCCCCACAGAGAGCACCTCCACAGTCAGAGGCTCCACCAGGGGTCTGGTGGCCTGAAGGATCTCCACAGATGTGGAGGTACCGCTGTAGCGCAGCAGGCTGCCCTTCACCAGCAGGTCACGCTCAACAGCTGACACCACGTAGTTGCCGTTCAGGAGGTACTTCCCGTGGCGGTTCTTCACGGCTAAGTAGTTTTCATCGCTGACCATTCCTCGGTAGCCCCGTTGACGGATGTCAATGTTGGACGCCCCAACAGGCAGCATCACCACAAAGTTGTAGCCGTGGCTGCAAATGAAAAGGTGTCAAACACTGATGATGTCCAATCGAGTGGTTTAAATTACATCATTAATACAAACTAACTAGGTGCCGTGTGTTAGTGCACAATGCAAACAACTAACCTTAGCACAATGACAGAATCCAGAATAAGACCATGTGCCATTTCTACCAGAACCAGTCTTACCAGTACATCTTCAGCCAACTACTCGGGTGTCAAGTATAGCAAAACTTCTTATTTAGGAGGTGAATTGTGTTTGTGTTCAGCGAGTCTTTCAGATTTAATATGGAAATGTAATATTTGTGTCTTTGTTTGAAGCGTTTTATCAAAATCGATACTTTATCTTTACGATTTGATTCCACTTTGCTGATGTACTGAATTTAGAAACATTCTGTCACAAACTGTAATGTACTAGGTAACATGTGTATGTGGGGATTACTTACACTGGCTTGGTGAACAATCCTGAGACCTTCTTGCAGCCTTGGTTGTCCCCGCCACATACACCGCACTTATCAAACTTCCTGTTAGAGTCCAGCTTGCCGTCACAGCCTGCCTTGATGCATTTTCCCTGAACGCACACAGACGTAGTGTCCGGGGAGCAGGGTGTGCCATCCACAACCTGCCACATTCACATCATGCATAAATGCACACATCAGAGAGCTACCAGCCTTTACATTAAATAAAGCAGAGCCATAAATCACTACAAACCAGGAAGTTTCCCCAGACTGACTGCCACACATGTCAGTGAGACGTTGGCTTGTATTTCTGCTGATTTCAGCTGTGCAGTGATTCTCCATCTTTGACTTTCTCACCACACTATTGATGCTCTGCTGCCACCAAAACATCACCTGTCACTTTAAAAGTGATGGACGTAACCATCATCTCCCAAACTGTGAATAAGGCCAAGCACCAACCTTTCTAACTCAATGCTTCAGGTTTTGACTCCTGACTTCTGAAGTGTTAAATACTGAGGCGTTCAGATTCATTATGAAGCATAATAGTTGATAGGCCGGTGTCATGTCTGAGCTCGTTACACAGATACAAGCGTGGCAGGACTTTTATTTTGAAATTAACTGCAGCGTAATGAAAGCTAGCAGTGCTGATCTTTGTGTACAGCCATCACTTATCTTTCATTTAATGAACA